AGCACCTCTAGTAATGTATTTACTGAGAAAAATTGTGACGTGTTCAATACTTATTTTACCCGCTGTATTGTCTGCAAAACATTGCCCAGTCGTACCTGTGGACCCACAAAGTAGTCCTCACACTCCTTTGTGTGCTTCACTGGCAAATGGACCATATTTGTTGTTGAACTGCTCTTAATGCTTCTCTGCAAATCTTGCATAAAACGTTATTTTGACCGTCGTCACTCTTCTCCAAAACAAACCATTTCCAGTTTAGTGACATGGACCCACGTCCTGCTAATAAGTCATGCGCTGAGACAGAACGTTGCTGCACATTTCCTCATGTGAAGATTGTTTGGGTTGCTGCCAGCCCCAGACTGAATCCTGTCCACTGATTGGTTTCTGTGGCACACATTACATGAATGAGGACTCATGCCTCTCTCTTTCACCATCATCTTTGTTGTCTTTTGGAGACAGTATGAATACTCCATAATGTAAAACTGCACATCTTCAAAGCAACATGGATGATACGATCATCTGCGATAGATATCGCCCACTGGTTAGCAGCCTTGACACCAATAATAGTATCGAAATGGGCTGAAATTTTCATATTGGTGCATCCCTACTTGACAGTAAGACCAAGAAGCTTCATTTGCCTTCCTTCAGGGGGATTTGATTTTAAATAAATGTTCCAGGAAAATGGGAACAACAGAGTTTTGAATCATTAAAGCAGTAATTCTCAAGCTGTTTCTCTGCTTTGGCACGCCTGATTTAAATGAATGAGTGATTGRCAGGCTTCTGCAGACCTTAAAGACTTACTGGAGAACAGGGAAACAACTAGAACATGCAGGACAGCGGTCCTTCAGGACCAGGATTGAGAAGCACTGTATTAAAGAGCACTTTCTTGTTCCAAACCTGGCATCACTTTGGAATATTCTGCCTTTTGTTACGATCTACAACTGGAGATTTCTGCACCCTCTTTTAAAAGTATAAAACAAAAATCTGCAACAGGTTGTCACTAACATCACACATCTTATCTGCGGGCTGAAACATTCAATCTAAAGATGTTTGATCACTTAATGTGGGGGAAAAAAACGKGTTTTAAAAGTTTTTAGTTATAAATCCTTTTATGCGTTGATTACTTTGTCTTGTGATGGGTCAGTTAGCCCAGATGCTAACATTATTTTATATAGAGTATCCTCGTCAATACGTGACATAAGATGTTTTATACCGTGAAAATGTAAGATATRATGAGTACCAACATTTGAGAAATCTCATGACCCCATGCTTTGAACAGTTTCAGTTCACTTAAGGCTGAGATATACTCCAGCTTTGGTTTGCGGGCTCGAGCGCTCTGAGCCGTGCGGCTTCTGTGTTTATAGTTGACGCGCGGCGGCGCATTGCAAAGTGCTGTTCTTTTACGGACCAGCACGTGGCAGTACGCTTTAAAACCTGTGCGTAGGTTGTAAGAAACAGGTGTAGAAGAAGAAATGTATGATGTCACACAACTTTATTTTGTTTCTTTTTTATTCATTCTTGTTCTTATTTTAATTTTTACTTTTTATTTATTTATTTATTTATTTATTGCTACCTAAGTGTGGAGCTATCTGCCACATTTGCCCTTGCTGCCTCCTGTTTTGGCCTTGAACCTTTTAGTTTTTAAGTTTATTTTAATTATGTTAAATAAAATGAAACTACATTGAAATATCCACTGCAACATTCCTTCGCAGTTTTGTTTGCATATTGTCTTATTCTCAAAGTCATCGACAGTTTCACTCTATAAACTTAGGTATGAATAAGAATTTTTAAAAAGTGTAAGAAGAACATTTGATGTTATTATAAATTGGAAACCTCAAATGGTATTGTAAATATAATTCCCATCATGAATCAAAAGAAAGCTTTGCTGCCTCACAGGGAAAATCCCAAACTTTAATTTTGTTATTAAAAATCAATTCTTTCGTTAGTACTAATCAAAAGAGTTAGGTGTATTTTTCAGATAAGTACATTTGTTTAATACATTACTAGAACATGCGATTCATTCTTCCAAGCCTTTCTACACGCAGATTAATCTTTCTGCATCGCTTCAGCGATCTGCTTCCAAACATCATGTGCCATTTGAACATCTTTATCATCTCTCATAGAGGGATCATATAAATGCTGGTACATCTGGATACATTCAGCAAGAGCAGCTTTACATCCATCAACGGCGCACGCACCAGCCTTTGCGTAGTTTCTAAAAATCGGAGGTGCACGACACGCGCCAAAAGGACGCGTGGGGCAGGGACGGTACTATTGCGTCACTTTCGGCACATACACCCTTACGTCCTGCGCGACGCGTCGAGTATAAATCTAGCTTTAGGATCCTCAGTAGGTAACGTAGAGAGACTAGGTCCATGGTGAACACAGAGAAATTATTTTATTTATTTATATATTTTTGCTTTTGATATTTTTTTAAGAACTTTCTCTTTTGTGTGTCCTTCAGGGAGAATCTAGAGAAGCATGGTGTTTGTATCCGTGTTCTGGGAGACTTGAATATGCTGCCCCTGGACCTGCAGCAGCTCATTGCCAAAGCCGTGGTGACCACCAAGAATCACAATAAGTACGATTTTGTTATTTATGCTTCATTAAAGCGCCACATGTTGTTCTGTTTACATTGTAAGCGACTRCTTGGATTTGATTTTGGTTGTTTTGCAGGTGTTTTCTAAACGTGTGCTTTGCCTACACGTCGCGGTACGAGATCACGAACGCAGTGAGGGAAATGGCTTGGGGGGTGGAGCAGGGTCTGATCAAAGCAAGGTGAGCGACGCGGCGGACGGCCGTTAGTTAGCCTTGAGAAAGATAATGTGGAGAGCCAGAGCTCTGACGCTCTGCTCGTGTTTCTGTCGCGCTGCAGCGACGTTTCAGAGACGCTGCTGAGCGAGTGCCTCTACAGCAACAGCTCTCCCAATCCTGATCTGCTCATCCGGACCTCGGGGGAGGTGCGCCTCAGTGACTTCCTCCTTTGGCAGGTGAGGAGCGATGACTCAAACAGCAGAGAAGACGGACGCTTATTTGAAGTCAGATTTCACAGTTTATTGATCGTTTTAAATCAGGAGCTTCTATTTTGCTCGTGAGTAGAGCAGGATGGCTTTTTGAGACGTTTTCGGCATGTGCTGACATTTTATTTCTGTTTCACTTCACTTCTTTTTAGGGTATTCATTCAAATTCAAGGGTAAATGACTAAAAACTGAATTTAGCCTGAGAAAACGTGCGTTGGTGAAACATTTTGCAGCTTTAGGTGATGAACTTGAATTGATTTTCATCTCTGCTTCGCCTGCAGACGTCTCACTCCTGCCTGGTGTTCCAGTCGGTCCTGTGGCCCGAGTACTCCTTCTGGAATCTGTGCGAGGCGATTGTCCAGTACCAGTTAAATCACAAATCCATCCAGGTGAGCCTTACCTCCATGCTTTTTCTCTTTTTTTCTATTTTTTTAAACTCTTTCTTTTTTTAAATCTCTTATTTCACTTTATTATTTTTCTCTTTTATAGAGAAAGAGAGAAAAACAGAGAGAGAAGTAATTAGAAAGATTGAAATAGAGATTAGAAGTATATTAAATATAC